CTTTTATAGCCCAAAATGAGATAAACCCGTTACTAGAGTTTCCAACAGGATGAAGACAAATTTTTCAGGGACACAGGCTGATAGTCGATTGTCAAACAATGATAATCGATTATCCAAAGATTCCCTGTCCAAAAATTTAAAATTCTATCCGTTGGAGGACGACGGTAACCCAGATAATCGATTGTCAACAAGTGATTATCGATTATTGGTCCTCTCTGAAGATTCTGGGTTTTGGCTGCAAAGACTGATAATCGATTATTGCAAAGCTGATAATCGATTATTGCGTGCTTCAGAACTTTCGAAGTTCAAAGCTGCAGGGGCTGATAGTCGATTGTCACTAAGGTGATAATCGATTATCACCCAGCTAAAGTCTAGCCAGCTGAAACCCGTTTTGAAAAACCGAGGTCCAAAAACGAAGCGTTCCCAAAAGTAAAAACCAAGTTTGAAAGACATTATATATGCTATAAAATAGTGAAAACAAGACTTGTTTGGTAAAAACCAAGTCCTCAAGGTCGTAAATCACGTGCGTACAGTTTTGACCGTTTTTCACGTGTTAGACCGATTGACCAAGATACAAAAGTGGTTTTTACAAAATAATTATTCGGGAACCTTTAAAATATGCTCAGAGATAAAAACAGGGTTTAAAATATTGAAAACCACGGAGTTGGTTTGGGCGCCAAAAACCGAACGCCGAAACGTTGAAAGCCGAACGCCGAACGCCGACTTAGGTGGTTTTGGTTCTGAGCAAGGACCAGGGATTTTAACAATAAAGAGATTTATCTAAAATGTTTATTTTGATGCATAAAAAACATTTTATGATTTTGTAAAATAATTTTGACTCTTTGAGAACCGAGACTTGAATTGATTATCGGTTTTGATCACAAAAGACCGACTCGACTAAGTCTTCAATTCTTGATCTGTCCTTGAGTCTTTTAGGTCTTGTTCCAAGCCATTCTTCACGCCTTGAGTTATTCAACGAAACTCTTCATATCCACGGCGGTTTGGCAATTATCAAAACCTNNNNTCAGAAATGAACACGACTTTAGTTTAACGTACAAAGTGTGTTCCAACATATATTATGAGAAACTAAAAGAAAGTTACAAAATTAGTTCTCAGTACAGCGACCGGAACTCTTAAACACTTGTTTGTCATCATCAAAAAGGGGGAAATTGTTGGGAAAAATATCATAGATTTTGATGATGATGTATTTAGAATGTAATAGGGACTTTAGGTCTCCCCCAATATTCAATGTAATTTTTCTTTTTAGAAATATTGTTAAAACCAAGTTCTTGAGATTTCCAATAAGGTTGTGATATTTCCTTAAGCGTTTTGATGCCTGAAGACTTAATAAAATTCAGTGATCAAGGAAAACCAATTGCATAAAGTTTATGGTATTTTAAACTGGATTGATTTCTCAGATTGTGCAGACTTAGAAATGGCTAGTGATCAGGTCTGCTGAGTCCTTAAAATAGGTGGAATAGGGAGGTGGTTTTGAACCAATGGAACTGGTTCGAAATTGGGTTAAACCGGGTGACTTGTTGTTGGGATGGTTAGATCAATTTGGTTTTTCAATGCATAGACGTAAACAACAATGTCATCTAATTTTATGATGTAATTGCTAAATTTGGTTTTCCATCTAACACAAAGGAATTGAATCCAATGTTTACTTAATTAAATTTTTTTTGTTCTCATTTCAAATTATAATCATGTATACATTTTTTCCCTCAAAACTCGAGTGTCATGTGTCTGTTTATGAATTAATATACTATCATTATAAAATATTGTTTCAGCCATAGGTGGCATGACTGTTTTGATTATTGATCTGATTAAGCTGATTAGTGAGTCATTGCCTTATCGATTCATTCAGTGTTCTTATTGGGTTAATTTTCTGGTTTTGGTTTTATCAGAATTGATTTTTCTTGTATCCTTATTTTTTAAATAATAAACAATAATCTTGTTACCATATTTCCTGAATTTTAATTCTTCACTTTTGTGATGTTCGGCTAATTGTCTTAGTAATCTCTGATATTTCTCAACTTGGCTCAATCACTTATTTGTATATGCTTATCCAATGTTACAATTGTTGTTTGTAAATTTCCCTAACTTTTTTCTGTCAGAGTTTGGAAGGGATAAATGATATTTGAGATGAGAGCGATAGATCGGGAATGAGAATTGTCAGAGGTACTAATTGAATTAATGTAGAAGGAATCAATTTTCATGTTTGGATCGTATGATGTCATGATGATGTTGTTCCTTCCCTCTAATATTTTCCAGCTTAAGAGAGGATCAGATTCATCTATTGTATTGAACAGTCTCTATATTCATACTGCTCTGCAGTCTAGTTTCAGCTGCAACATGGTTGGATAAGATTTTTTCCCTATTGGCCGACACAATCTCATTGCATGAAATGTGAAAAAGATTATGCTATCAGCAAAAGAAGTTTATCACTTGCATACTTGCATAGTAAAAGCTCATTTGGTTTCAATTTTTTCAGATTATTCAGGGATTCAGATTCTTAGAATTAGCTAAAATCAGATGGCGCTGTTTATTTTTATATACTGAGTATAATCAATTGATAATTTTGCTGAACAGAATTTGAATCCTAGTAGTAAACAACTTCCTCTGTCCCACTTTGTTTGTTGCATTGCAGTTTACATACAACAAAAACAACCACATTACCCCAGTGCTCAAAGGCTCGCTCATGGCGGGGTGGGGTGGGGGGATTAGATGCACGCAGCCTAACCCCTAATTTTAGGTACATAATAACTTTTGGATCCTTGAGGCAGGCAGATAAACACATCTACAAAGATATCTAGGAGGGTATTTTAGGTACATAATAAGTTTTGGATCCTTGAGGCAGGTAGATAAACATAGTCATAAAAATATCTGCATTGTCTCAAATCCCTGTATTAGCAAAACACACGAGAGCTATGTGTCCTATCTTACACTAATGCTGACAAACAACATTTAGACTGGGTTGTGGAATATTTCTCCTAGGTTGTTTATGACCCTCAAGTGTCCTAGACTGCACAGGATCTCTTTTTTGTTTTCTAATGTCATTCTTTCTAAAATTAGTTAACTTATTTTTAGGTGATCTACTTTCCATATGCTTTACGATCTCAATTTTCCCAACATTATTTTGCTTATTAACTTCAAGTTTTTCCTCTTTATTTTTCACATCATTTCTAGGTGAACTATACTTGCAAAAGTGCTTTTAAATCCTATTATTAATTTTAAAGATTTGCAAGATGTGCATATAGTATTATGGCTTTTCGAGTTAGCCTACTTGCTTGTCTTAGGGTCTGTTTGGTGAATTTTGGATGGATAATATGATATGGGGTTCTGAATTTTGAGAAAAAGATATGGACATTGAAATCTGAAATGAAAGTGTCTGGAGAAATAAAAAAGGAAATGAAGTATATAGTTCTTCCCACCTATCTTTTATGTGATTATACCAGTTTGTTATTCCTGGCAATAACATTATTAAAAGCAAAGTGAATATGTTCTAAAGGAATTAAGGCAAGAGTCCTATTGCCTATTGATTTTTTTCTTCTAGTGTGACTCCTACAATATATTTTGTTGCATGGAGTTGAACCTGACCGAGTATCGTGCAGTGTTTAACATATGAAATTGACAAAAAATAGTGTCTTATGATCCAAATGTTATTAGCTATCACCACCATATACATGACATTCCATGTAGTTAAACTGGACTCTAACCATTTCGAAGCATGGTTTGATTTATGTAGTGATGTATGCGAATGAAGAGCTTTTGATTTGGGCCTAGATATGACAATCAGAAATGGAAAAAGAGCTTTTGTTTTGGAACTGATTAAATTTTACATGATGTTATGATATGGTGTATATGTTGACATGTGTTCTTTATATTTAAGCATTTTGGAAGCGTACTGGACTGGAAGAGGACGCATAATAGTAAGAGGGAAGACTGATATTGAACTTCTTGATTCTAAAACAAAGTGTACTGCAATTGTACTTAAGGAGGTTTCATTTCCTTTACCTCTGAACTATACTGCTATTTGGCATAGTTATTACGGCGTCGCCTAGGCGTCCAGTCGGAACTTTTTTCTTGCCATGCTCCTCCGACTCGACTTAATTTCCGGAGCTCGCCTAGTCGTCGCCGCAGAGACGCCTAGACGTCCAGTCGGTAGGCCTGGGGCGACTTACGCCGTGAAATAAAAAAAATTCCTAGCCCAATTGATCTTAGATGTCCAGGCCAATTAATTTTTTAAAATAACTTATCTCAAGCCCAATTGATTTTAAAATATCAAACATACCTCAATAATCCAATCATCACTGCGTATTCTCTCAATCTCTCGGTCGTTGTTCTCTCTCGGGCACACTTCGCGGTCATCCTTCTCTGGAGCTGAATTGGGTCGTTGTTCTGTCTGCCTCACGTGCTTCTTGACTTCGGAAATCCGACCTGGGAATTACATCGGCTCTCTCCAGTCTCCCTCCACAGTAAGTCTCTCTCTCTTTACATTTACATTAACTTTGGTTTTTTTAGATCCTAATTAAATTGTTTCTAGAAATAGTATCACTCCTCCACTACTCCTCCACTTCACTCAGCATTATTTAAAGGTTTTTTTCTTAATAATGATTAATGATTTAATCTTCCTTTCAAAAAAATTTTGATTTTTTTGCCAAGCACTGTAAATTACTTTTTAATTCTTCCTCTGCCATATTACATAATTTTTTTTAAATGTTTTTCTGGTGATTTAATTTTTTAAATGTTCTTTTGTAAAAATAATTAAATGTTTGTATATTTGTTAGTTAAATGGCTGGAATAATTTATATATTATTTTAAATTATGTGTTTTTAACAGGTTTATAAAGCAATACCATGGCAGAACAGTCAAACAATGAAGTGATTGATCCAAACAACCCAAAACGAAAGGCCAATTCAAACGACCCCGGATGGAAATATGGTTTCAGGCCAGACTAGACGAATATAGATTTGGTTGAATGCATACTTTGCGGGAAAAGAATGCATTCTGGGATAAAGAGATTGAAACAACACTTAGCCGTTGGATAAGGGAGATGAGAGCATATATGCAAAAAACTTCACGGAAGCCTTCGATGAGGTTTGAAGATGTTGTTTCTAACAATGAAACCCTTGAAGAAGCGGCAACACATCTGGAACCACCGTCATCTACAGATGCCACTTCTCATCCAAGTTCTGGGACAGCTTCAAAAAGGAAACAGTCGGTTTCTAGATTTTTTGAATCACAGGAAAAGGCACCAAAACAAACCAAGTCGGTTGCTTCGATGCTAAGGAAGACTCCAGAAGAAGTTGTGGATGAAAGGCACACCAAGGGAGCTTATCAATCAACCATAGAGAGCACAACACGGAGCAAGGAAGAAAGGGAACGGGTATTAATGCATATTGCTGATTTCTTTTTTGAGAACAATATCTCTTTCAATGCGGCTAATTCAAGGAGTTATGAAGTTATGGTCGAGTCCAAAGGGCAATATGGACCAGGCCTTAAACCGCCAATTTTTCATGAGTTGCGTGTTCCCCTTCTTGAGAAGGCCAAAAAGGAGACGGAAAAACTTAAAGAAAAGCATGAAATTTCTTGGAACGAGCATGGGTGTATGCTAATGTCAGATGGATGGACGGATACAAAAAATCGTCATTTGATACATTTTCTTGTAAACAGTCCAAAGGGAACATTTTCTTGGAGTCTGTTGATGCTTCGAGTGAATCCCAAGATGCCAATTTGCTAGCCGGTTTATTGGAGAAGAAGATTGATGAAATTGGTAAGGATAGGGTTGTTCAAGTTGTGACGGATAATGGCTCCAATTATAAAGTGGCAGGCAAAGTCCTACAGGAGAGAATACCCACATTATTTTGGACTCCTTGTGCAGCGCATTGTATTGATCTTATGTTGGAAGATATTGGCAAGCTTTCCGACTTCAAGTCTACAATTGGAAGAGCTAAGTGTATCACGACTTTCATCTATCGTCATGGAAAGATTTTGCATGCGATGCGGGAGAAGACAAATGGTAGAGACCTTGTGAGACCTGGAATCACTAGATTTGCAAATGCTTTTCTCACTTTGCAATGTCTTCATAAATTTAAAGATGCCTTGAAAATGTTATTTGCTTGTGAAGATTGGAGCTGATCTAGACTATCAGCAACAGAGGCAGGGAAAAGAGTAAGTGACATTATTTTTTCTTCTAGTTTTTGGGCGACGGTGGAGGATTCTTTGCGAGCAACACACCCATTGTTGTTGGTGTTGAGGATTGTTGATGCTGATGAAAAGCCCGCTATGCCAGAACTTTTGTTGGCTATGGATCTAGCTAAAAGCAAAATCACACATGCTTTACAAGCTAAGCCAACAAAATTGAGAAAAGTCATGGAGATCATTGAGAATAGGTGGGAAGACCAGATGGGAGTGAATTTATATTCGGCGGCTTTATTTTTAAATCCGTCGAAATATTTTGATCTTAAGAAAAAAGATGCAATAGCGGCTTCTCATCATAGAATGATATTCAATGATGTGCTGGAGAAGATAATCCCTGATGAGTCTTTGCAAGGGAAATTAATGGATCAGGTCACTCAATATGACAAATTGCGTGGTAGTTTTGCAAAACAACTTGCAATTAACCAACAAAAGACAAAGAGCCCAAGTAAGTGCATCAATAAATTCCAATGTAGAATACTAATATTATAACACTAAGTGCTTTTATCATGGGTTGTAGTTGATTGGTGGGATGCATTTGGTGGCTTTACTATAGAGCTCCAAACTCTTGCGAAGCGTATCATTGGACTATGTTGCACTTCTTCTGGATGCAAACGCAATTGGAGCACATTTGAACACGTAAGCTAAGTAATGTTGATAGTCTAGTAAAACTTTAAACTTTAAACATAAAAATTAACTAGCATGTGATTTTTTTTAATTTATTTAGATTCACAGCAAGAAAAGAAATCGATTGGAGCATAAGAGGTTGAATGACTTGGTATTCATCAAGTATAATCGTAGGATTGCAACAAGATTTCAAAAGCGCCAAGAACAAGGAACTGATTTTAACCCTTTGATTTATGAGGATTTTCAGTGGGATAACAAATGGGTTAGTAATGAAGTTGTTCATCCAGGCCAAGATCTTCTCTGGACTACAGTTGATGAAGCTATGGGTGCTTCTACCAATCTTGAAGGACGTAATGCTCCGAGGAGAGGTTGTACTAGTGAAGCTAATCAAGGTGCAAGTTCTAGTGTAGCAACTTATCAACGCCAAAGAAGGTCTACTTCTGGAGCACCATTGCCTGCTCAAGAATCTCAAGATGGTGATTGTCATGGTGAGCCAGACGTGTTTCCAAATGATGATGAAGATGTCGAAGATGACTTTGGCCAAGCACCACCGTCCCCTCATCATAGTGCCCAAAATTCAAGCAATGACGTTTTTGATTCAACGTGTCTTGAAGATTTTTGAGACTTTGTTGTCAAGCAATGACTTTTTCAATTCTACTTTTCTTGATGGTTTTTGAGACTTTGTTGTGACATAATTTCTATCATTTGGATGTTAAATTTTTGAAATTTGAAATTTAAACTATATATACATCATATTACATTTATGTGATATATTTATATTAGTGTATGTATATTGTATAGCAATTATCATTTACTACTAGTCGCCTTATAGTCGCCTAGGCGTCATTACGTTACACATGCGCCGCGACTCGCCTTGGTGACGTGAAAACTATGCTATTTGGATGTTTGCTCTCTTCTCATGGATATTATTGGGTTGAATAAATTAATTTGTTTTTATCATTTTTAAAATGGTTTATTTCCATTCTCATGTGGAGCAAAAAATTCACTATTTTTTAGCCTTGGGGTATGATGGAATAAAGCAAATTGGCTCTCTAAACTGTCTGCGCTTCTTGTCATTGTGAAGTAGCAGTTGGTCAATGCAATTTTTGTCGTTCATCATTGGTCATCTAGAAACAGCCGCTCTATATTTTAAACATAGGGGTCAGACTGCGTACATCCGACCCCCCTTACCTCGCAATGGGCGGGAGCCGTTGCGGCACTGGCAGTTGTTGTTGTTTATTTTTAAAATGATTGGAACAGATACCTTACCAGAAATACAAAGAATCCCTCACTGAGAAGATTGCAGAACTTGTGGAAAATAAGGTAGGGTTTTAATAGCTTTATCCTTTCCGCTTATGGAACTACACAATTATATATGATAAAAAAATAAGGTTAAAAAGAGGCTTATATACAACTACTATATATACCTTAGCTTTACAGAGACAATGTAGGCTGTGGTTTCCTCCTACCTAACAAACTATTTTATTTAGCAGAAACAAAAACCACAAAGAAAGATTCATGTTTTGTTTTTGAGCATTTGATGTTGTTTTCATTCTTAATACACAATATTATTTTGAAAGACAACCTTTTGAAAAAACATGTCAATTCTATTGAATATACTTAGATATAAGTTAGTCTAATACTGTGTAGCTTGTCAGACAAAGTAGTTAGCTGTCTTTCACAATGCCTGTTATATTTTGGAGTTTTCCTATTAGCTAGTGTGTGTGTGTACAAAACAACAACAACCCAGTTGGATCCCATGAAGTAGGGTTTATGGAGGGTGTGTATGCAGACCTCGCACCCACTCAAAAGTAGAGAGGTTGTTTCCATGAAACCCCCGGCATAAGCTGCATGATAAGTCCGTTTCATTCTTATCATTTACATCATAGTCTAAATGTTATTGCACGTAAATGATATCTAATCATCTCATAAAATGTGATTTTGATGGATAAAACTCTCATTTTCGTTCTAAGTCATAAATAGGGATTCCACATAAAATCATCATAAATTATCCATTTTATGTTCAAATGCTTGAGAAAAAGGGAATAAATCATCAAAGGATCAAGTTTCGGGCTTGAACGAGCTTCCAGGAAGATAAAATCGACGTTCGGGTCGAAAATCAGTGAAATTGGGCCAAGATCTCGTAACAGCCGCGAAGCCCAACGGACCAAGGCCTCAAGGCGTCCAACTTGGACGCTTGGAGTTGGACGCCTTGGCTGGATTGCAGATCAAGGAAGACACGTGGCAAGAAGCGGATGGACGGGCCGCGTAAGGCGTCCAACCTTGGACACTTTGGATCCGGACACTTTGACTTGGACGCCTCGGCCTCTATCCTATAAATACAGCGCGATTCTCCCCATTCAACATGTAACGCCACGAAATATGGCCTAAATTTTATTATAAAACAAAAGTAATTTTCGTCCAATAAGAAATATTTATAGGTTGACCAAAAATAAATGATTTTCAAAATAATGACTTTTTGTTAAAAACTTATTTTTATGGATATGTCTCAAAGAGACGAATCCAACGGTACAGTTTATGAACCAATCTCATTTATAGATTTCAAGTTATGTCGATTTTAAATATTAAAATTTGTAACTTTGACCCATAAAATAAACTCAATCCAAAGGTGATTTAATAAGATTATAAATCATAATTTTGACACTTGACAACACCATATTTATCATTTGGATTTAATCCATATATTTATATCTCAATCATATTATAAAATTAATTTATGACA